AGCTTCGACCCTCGATTCCTCCCCTGGCAGCCCTCCGTCTTCCACGACCGGTCGTGGAGGAACGCGTCTTCGTGGAAACGTCTTCGTATAACGGCGAAGGAGAGAGCCACCGCGGAGACGGCAACGCTGACTTAATGGCTTATTTTATCCGGTAATATTGCTGTCCGATCTCCGGCGCACCGGCAATGAATTATCGGGACGATCGAGGTACGCGCAACCACTGAACGAATCATTGAACGCCGAGCTCTCCCGACTGGCTTGGCGCCTTTACGCTGGCCGATTTCATATAGGGTATAGTGCTGTATGTGATACGACCGAGGGGCCGCAACTGATTTACGATTCAAAAATAATTTTGTAACGAAGAAGGAAATTGCTGCCTACAATGCAATTTAAAAGAGTAATTTTCAGAATTGCTGTGAGACATGAATGAGGGTTGAACTTAGATTTCAATTGATATCAAACAAATATTTCTATTTTATGCTTCTTTTTCTATCTAATGTAGATATTTTGAAATATCTTTTGAAGATATATAAATTGTAATTGGAATGTTTACAAAAATGTTGTTGGGATGTTGTGATCTGCTACTGAATTAATTAATTAAAAAAAACATTACTCAATTTCTGTTTTTCTGTTGCAAGCGATTTAGATGTGTTCACCGGTTACTCAGATACCAAGTGTTCGTTACAGCGATTCGTGGGTAGAACATGTTTCGAATAATTAATAGGTAGAAAGTACATTTAATGTCCAGACCATAGGAAACACGAGAGGGACGAGCAAATGGTCTGTCTTATCGATAATTCACTCGATCTGATCGATGTAGTACGATCTGTTCGTAGTATCCTATAATTCCACCTGGCTCGCCGTATTTATATGATTAATGGGTTCATAATGTCTATGCGCGCCTGCGTTTTTACTGACGGAACGATCCAACTCTGTTCCGAATAATTTTAAGACATGTCATCGAATATAATTTCACGATGAAACCAGTGTTTACGTGTCGCAACATTGTTCTCGCAATGTAATAGCACATTACGGTAGACTATTACTGGGCACTGTTTATTCTCTTCGAAACTTCGCAGTGACGATATTTTCCTCCAGGCGTTTCAAAAAACTTATTTCAACGTTTATGTTATAGATGATTATTCTCAAACTTAAGCACTGCTTTCATTATATGTTGTTACTATTTTCTGATGAAATACAAGCTCAAAATTCCTGGTAAACTAAACTAAACTTATGAATAATAACAAGTTTTATTTTGTCCTTTAAAACAATTTCAACAAATAGAATATGAAATTCATTTCCAAGAGAATCGTTACTTACATCAATCATTTAAAACGACAGATTTCATTATCGAAGAAATTGATTATTTTGAAAATTCTTAGTTCAAAGACAAATTATAAATTTACTAGTTGCAATCTCTAATTTGTCTCGAAAGCTTTTCTATGTATTGTAACGTACAATTTGATGCAGGGTTTGAGGCAACGACGATTATAATCGACTGAGACCGGAGGAAGAGTTAATCGTGATCGATTGGTGTAAAATTTCTCTTAGATGCCGCAGGGGTATCTAGACTTCGAGCCCGGTGAAATCGAGCTATTGAATCGACATCCGTCATGCGAACGTCAGAAGCTATACGTGTTCTCCTACTGGTAACTCTAGCCACTCGACGGTAATTCTCTGGCTGGCATGCGACTGCCACTCGAACGACACGACATCACACGAACCATTCGACCGTTCCTCTCGTTTTTTCCTCCTTTCCTCCCCATTTTTCAGTTTCGTCTCGTGCGGCTTTGGGCAGCAGCGTGCACGAAATGAGACTGCAGAACAGTGCCACTGTAAGAAACATTCCGAGGTGCACAAGCGCTTGCGCAATTATATTTCTCTTCGGATTTTATGACTGCGAGCTGCCGCACCAAAATATGCAGGTAGCAATTCGTATTGCGCTTCTGGTCAATTAAATATAACATTATGTCAAAGTATATATTTTTAGTTAACGCAGTGAAATTATAAGGCTTTTACGATCTTCGATCAAGTTGTACAAGTAAAAACTTGTATAAATTTGTGTCAAGAGTTTAATTTCGTGTTAAAAATACATGCTAGTAATTCATTATATGTATCCGATTTGTTGTGTGTACATATCTTGCTACGACCAAAGAGGACATCATTCCAAATGAGAAGACAAATCGGAAGAATGAGGTGAAACTTTCCCATATATGGCTTTATTCCGCGATAATCAGTTTCGAAAGTTCGCTTGACACGCACGCATTAGTAATTAACTTTTTATAGTTCACTGGGATACGCGACAGAAGCAGTGGCATCGATAGGTCAAAGTGCATAGTAAACTGAAAAGAAACACCATGAAAGGTCTCTGGTAGGAGTAACATACCAGACTATCATCATCTTCCATTACAGATTCTTCTAAGCATAGAAATCGATCAATTGATTCTTAGTAACTCAAATCGAACACAATTGAAAAAGTGTACGAAAAGGAGAACGAATTACAAAATTAAACTCCTCTCAACTACCCAACAACACAGCAAGAATTCGTAGCATTCCGACCCTACCAAAGACTCTCTTAAAAAATCAAATGGACTTACTCTTATTCTAACGAGAAGCAGTGTTCGTGGTTCACGCAACGTTCCCGTCACTCCACCCGCAGACGTTCAAACTTCTTCCAACCGCGAGCAAACACTTCTTCCAAGGGAACATCTAAATACCGGAAGAACCTTCTAAAGCCGTTTACCTCGTGAAATTGTTAAAACGCGCGGACACTAATCGTCCGGAAGAAATGAACGTGAAACGACAGCGTATCCCGATATACATCGGACACGTATAGCGGGAAAATTGGAAGAAAACAAATACGACACGTAGCCTGATATACGCTGTAAGCGTGCCAAGGTTCAAAAGTGAACTGATCGCGGGGTGGTCGCATCGGATTGACATGCAGTCGTGGAGGTACGCGGACACGATCTGCCCGCGAGGTTTACGCGCCACGTGGCCGCTCGCGGTGCAGAGTTCGCGAGCCATCAGCGTGACAAATGTGACAGCGAGTACAGAAATGGCTACCCTCCTCCCTTCTCATTCCACTTTCCTAAGCGGTTCTAAACACGGGCAGCGCGCCACCGCCGCCGCCGTTAGCCGCGGCGCGAGCGACCGGTGTACGTGGCTTACGAGCACGTGGGAAAAGGCGCGTGCAGAACCCAGCGTCGGTAGGCGGCAGCCTTTACGGGACTGCTTTCATAATAGATGCCCACGATATACGTCACCGCACGTCGGTCTGCCACGCGAAATAACACACATTTGCGGCTAATTTCGTGGACGATTGTCGCCGTAGGGTTCAACGCTTCTGACCGCTGGACAACCCACCCCCTAACCAGAATTCCGCCCCTTCCGAATCTCCTGCGTTTCGCTCTTCTCTCCTTCCTTTTTTTCTTCTTCGTTTCCCACCTCATAACACGTTCGGTTATACTTGCGATCCGCTCGATACTATTTGAAATAATGAGTTAATTTAACGAAATAAAGAGATTGTGTCAGATGTAGGAGGCGCGCGTGTGGGAGCTAGATCATTTCCAGAAAGGTTAGAGTTGGTGCGCAAATTTGTGGAAGCGGAGGGTGTTTGACATGTAGATAGACTTGAACAGCTACAAATAAATGCGTTGATTTCGAAAAGTGGAAATTAAATTTTACTAGAATGTTACTAAAAATATCCATTTTTAGTCGAACGCGAACGATCAATTTGACAAGTGATGTGATTTTGTTGAAATTCGGTGAGTCATTTGTTACTTTTTTTAAATGTATGGTGTGAGTGTAGAAAGTGTAATGTAAGAATAGCAAGTGATAGTGCTAGAATTCTTGGTATATACAGTAACCCTCTAAAGTAGTGGTAAGAAAATACTAAACGCTATGGAAGACGGATTACACTATGGTAGGAGCAGCGAGTAATGGACGGACACGTTACCCATGCCATATGCTATAACAACGCGCACTTCACGAGCGTTTAAGATTGATTTTTCCTATGGCAAAGCACCGAGAATCCAATTTTAAGAACGGTTTACCTGGTTCATCAAAACTTATTTCCTTGGCAGCGAGAACCCTTACATAGTAATTGGATAATCAAGAAACATTCATAACTCGTATTATACTCAGTACTCAATTCTCAATCTTCAATCCTTATCACAAATTTTGCTTTCACAGTGATCAACCCTCGAATAAAGAAATATTTCATATTAAACAGCCTAACATTTCCAAGCGATAGCATACAAAAGTAACCAGAAATCATGTGACGCGAAATCGGATTCGGCTTGTACGCGGCAGCAGTGTCAGGCCAACGGAAAAACGGAAACCGCGATAAATTAGAGGGCCACGAGGGAGCGTGACGGTTTTTAAAAGCTATGATTTTCCGATGAAAGCTCGCGTTTCATGGTAGCCGCGACAGGACAAGCCAGCAGGCCGCCTGGCCCGTTTAACTGCAACCTGGCAATTACCTGTAGGGCATAATTGTCATCCCTTACGTTTTCCAGGCCGGTCTCCCGGCTTCCTTCGCCCCCTGCCCCGTTCGCCGTTCGCCGTCCCTGTTCCGTCCGCCCCGTTCTCCATGCTCTTTGCCCAGGGCTACCCCTGGGCCACCCCTACGGAGGCGTCGGGTCACGCGAGGCCGTGCCTGTCGCAGAAGTCCACGCGACGCGCACAGCCACGCAATGCCGAAACAACACCGACTTACCTTACCTGTATCAGATTTCTAATTACTAATTTACTCCCCTGCCACCGATCCCCTCCCCCCACTTTCCGCGCTGTTACAGCGGAGACCACTTTCGAACCGCCTCGACACCGTGCCACCGACGACAAGAGACTCCGACTGGAAACTTCCCCAACGAAGGTAAGGAATTTATTAATTTTTTTTCGTCTGCACGGTTCCGTGGCTGAAGGATGCACCACGACGGTGTCGGCACGCCGAAACAGTGTACACGTCTACGAATATTTTTGAAAGTTTCTTAACTTACCCGACCCGAGGAGGTAGACGAGGACGATTAGCGACTTTAATGCGACCCCAGAGTGGCGTCTCGGTATTTACCTGCGAACAGAAGATCGTTTCAGGGGGAATTAGAATTGCGAAGTATGCGGCGCTGGGGTGATTTCGGTGTGCGTATTATCTGTAGATTAGGGTTCCCCGTTCGTTTATGGTTTATAAAAAGCTTTAAATGTATTCGGATATAATTGTACGCAGATTCGAGTCGTGCTTTTGTCGGAAAAATGTTTCAAGAAGAAATCAAATTTCAATCGTAATTGTACACGTAAGGAGACAGTGGATGCGTCGATGACGGAGGCAAGCTGCAGAGGAGGAAGGATCGAAGGCAGGCATAATTGCGAAAATTAATTATTGCCGTGCACGAATGTCATGTGTCTGCCTGTTATTAGCCCACAGGCATAATTTAAAGGGAAGCGACTTGTTAACAATTTCGTTCTCGTCCTGCTATCCGTTTCTAGGCACGGAAACGCGGTAGCTGATCGTAATGAGTAATCATGATTTAAAACCTAATAAATATGCAACATTATCATTAGACGTGATACAACATTATCATAATTTAATCATTATGTACATCTATAACCCGTAAACTATAAGACATATTATCATATTACAACTGTCCGAAGCGAATCTAACAATAAAATATAAGAATTACGTATCTTCGCCGATACACGATCCAGAAATATTCCGTTCTAAGTGACCATCATTGAGCATCACTCAATGAACCCCACCGTTTGGCAAATATTATTCTACCGTTAATCCTAATTTCATAACGCCCCACCACCGTCGTCGTATTCGCGATGCATTATCATCGCGCGTCGCGGAACCGGGCGTCTTCGAGGCCCGGAGAATGTCGACGGTGCGCGTTACAACATTTACTTACTGCCGTTTAACCACTTATCACGTCGGATCTCGGAACGCGGTGCTTCTGCAACGCGCCTAGAGGCAGATTTCCGTGGATAGAGGAACGAGCGCCTCGCCGCGCCGGGGCAAAACCTCACGGCTGCACGCCATCGCTGGTGCAACAGGGAACCTGGCCCGGCGAACGGCGTTTACGGGTCGGACAGAGAGAAAGAGAGACATCAACCCGGCGCATATCCATTACGCGGCGCGCGTGGGGGCGTTTAACGCAAAAGCGTGTGAGGGAGCACGAGGAGTATCGGCGTCCTTTATCCGGCACACACGCGTTACACGCCGCCCTCGCATGCTTCAAGGACATATCTGCTGGATATCAAGCCGACTACTCGATCCGGGCTAACCGCTTGCACACCCGCGGTACCTCTCCCTCCTTCCTGCCCTTCGACCTCGCTCGTTTCAGCCCTCCTCGGGGGCAACCTTCGCTCCTCTCCCTTTGCCACCGGAGCTGAGGCACAGATATTTACCGATTCCAATTGGTTTCGTGATTGCGTCTAAGTGGCTGGATAGGCGTGTCCCGGCAGTCACGCCGCGACCCGATACCGCGGGACCGGCCGTAGAACGCGGCCGGCCGGAAAATCGGGGGATTTGGGTGAACGTATCGATTCCGGTGATTCGGCCGGCAAATATAGGGAATCGACGAATTATCGGGATACGGAGGGGTGTAGGCTACGGATGGGACTGGGGGAAGGGAATATCTTTTTTGCTGGTGATTGTTTTGATGCTTTTAGTGTGAAATGTGGAAGATTTCGTGCGAAGACGCTGGAGTGATTAGAAATCTTTGAAATGTTAGTTTTGCGATTAACGAAGAGGAACATTGGTTACTTCAAGTCTGTAAAGGTTAAATATTGACAGAATGTAGGATAATAACTGATATAATTATAGTACATTTAGCGATTACTAGCTAAACAATGGAAGATATTTGAATATTCGGGAAATATAATCCTTGAATGCAGAATAATCGTATGTATCATTTGTGTGAAAATCGCTTTAACTGTTGAAATGATAATTAGCTGATCGGGAGACTCGCCGAAATCCAATTAATTATAATTAAGGTCATCGAGATATATGAGTCTTATCGCTTTCGTGAGCATCGCCGCTGGAAACGACGCAGGCCGGGCAACGAGTGCTAATAACCTGCACCGGCAGGAAACCGCGTCGAGGGGACAGCTCCAGACAATGAAATATGCATCTCGTATTAAAACTTTGTGTCGCGCGGACGGCTGAATGAAATCCGTGAAGGATTGATCATCAGAGACTGGGGCGCGCGCGGAGCATCGTAAATTATGATAGATACGCGGAGCGAGCCGTGCCTGGAGAGAAAGGGTTACAGGTTAGGTGAATATGCCAAGGGCCCTTTCTGGCTGGCTCTGATGTGGTCTGCGGCCTGAGCTTAATAACCGTTGGCCCTCGGCCTCCTCAAACAAACGTTTCTAACCATTACGCGCCTCTTGGCCCCCGGCGCCGAAAATTCTCAACGACGACACGCACGTAAAAAGAAGACAATGGAAGGAATCTCGGCGAAATAAAGTGTACCGCTATGCATGATAGTCTAAAAACGGTAAAACACAATTCAGAGGTACGTATTATGTTTGCAAACTCGGCATGGCGGCGTATTTCAGTTTGAATTCTTATAACACAATTTAGGCAATATCACTTCAGTGTTCGTGAATGTTATATTCACTGGATACAGACATTTCTCCTACGGAATATTAAAGACTGCTGAATATGCAGGAAAGTATTGAAATGTACATGATAATTCATAATTTAATTTTGCAGTGGGGTTTGGGTAAAATTAGTACGTAGCGAGCAAGATGTACAAGGCTGCATACCGAATTCTCAAGTTGCGTACGGTTAAATTGGTTAAACTTACATTTGTTTATCATAATTTTGTAACTAAATTTGAACCTCGTTCAATGCATCAGTATCCTTTTGATCAAATCAACCTGTCCCATATCCCGAGTTCAAATATTAATAATATTCCTCAGATGAGAGCTGGCTATCTAATAAACAACACGACATACTTTCCGTCCCAATTTCAGTACTCTCCATCATTAACAAATTTTTAATTAAACATAACGGTTCAAATGTCGAAAGAAATGTACTACACATACACTCTATTTCGGAATGCACCCATATCGCAACAAATTTTTAATTAAACGTGACTCAAAGAAACATTCTGCAAAGTTTAAATGACGAGCCTTGGTATTACATAAAATCCCAATAAAAGTCTACGAAAGCCAACCCAACGATTAATTTCGCATCTCGTTGAAAGTGTCCTGACAAAAATAAGCTAAACGACACATGGCTACTTGCGTGTATTAATACAATTCGTAGAACTCAGCAGATAACCGAGTCGAAACTCGCGCGGGGTAGAAAGAACCGCATCCATCGGGCGACAGGAAAAACGCGAGAAAAAGTAAACGGTCGACGAGCGGTCGAATCAAATGAACGCGGTCGGTAGGATCGCGGTTGCTGAAAAACGGGGTTGATACGTGTCGAGAGGTGCTCCGGTATTAAAAACGCGGGCAACAGTCACGGGGAACGAGGTACCGGATTATATCGTTGCCCCCGAGCACAGCCGTGTGTAGGAGGCAATGCAAGAAGAGGCCATGAAGAGGGGGAGAGCTGCGAGTGGCTCATCGACTGGTACAGGCTAGTACCGATATTACCCTGCACCCCCAAACCAGCCAACTAGCGAGGCAGAGAAAGGGAGAGGGCTAGAGTGGAGGGACTAGAGAGTGTATACATGTACGTGTATGTGTTCGTGTGGTTGCAGGTGTGTGTGAGGAGGAGAGTGCAGGATAGAGGAGGCTAGAGGCAGGCAAAGAGGAACATGTAAGCTCGCGTAGGTATCCACTTCCCTTCCGCGATCAATTAATTCCGGACACTAATGCTTTTCTAAAGACACACACCTAGCCGGGCTTACCACTCGGATAACCAACAACTATTCCTAGAGCCGTCCGTCCGAGCCATCGAATTACACGTCACGCGATTCCATCGCAACTGAACCGCGTTTCCCTCTCGACGGCTGCTACGCTGACAGGAAAGGCGATCGGATATAAATTGGGTAACACTTTTTGAATGGCACCCGAGCCTGGGACGAAGCTTTATGTATTGCTGGAGGTAAAGACGTATCTTAGCGTTTTGTATATTATAGTTTGAACAGATAAATCGCGTGTTTCAATGTAGCAAGTTTGGACAGGATTGTAAGTGTTAGATGTCATCTGCAATAACCTCGACGGAGATTAGTATAAATTAGAATATAAAGATGACGAGTTGCAAAATAGATGAAGTGATATTGTACGAGTCGGATGTCCCTTGTGTATTTTATTCTTACTATTATTCTTATCATACTCTTAATTTTTTGTAAGGATATAATTATCTGAAAACCGTTTTTCCTAGAACCTTCATTCAAAGTGAAACAGTTTGAGGAAAATAGAATTATTCTAATACGAAGTAATTCGTTCGAAAGTTATTAGCCCGCTCGGATCTATCCACAGGGTTTCCCCAGTAACCACTACCCTTAACGATAAAATCCGTAGCAGTCCGATATCCTCGAGTCAACGATATTTCCTCGAGGCGTGGGCTAGATTCGTTCGGGAGATGCGCATTCCCAGGGTACAATAAATCATCATTCCGTCCCTGTCTCGCCCACGCCCTCTCTATTTTCGGAAAATCGACGATGGCTCCCCCGCCGTAATAGGCACCTATCTGCACGTTACTCCCGCATCTACGACTACGAGGCCAGCTCTCTCCGGAGTATTCTAATTGTGAGAGACAGTCCCGGGAAAATACTCGGCGGAAGTTTCCTCCGGGTTCGCTTCGCCGGCATATCGCCGGTATTTCAATGTGCCACTAACACCATCCCGGCTGCTACCGACGGCGGCAAGTCTTACCTTTAGGTAACACCTACGCCGTTTCCCACCCACCGAGTCCTCCGCGGCGGAATTAATTCCGAAAGCAAAATTAAGTACCTACGAGAACTGGTAAATACAGTCGCTGAAGGTTCAGCGGGATGGAGATGAAAAGTAAACGCGGAGGCTAGTCGCGTTCCACGCCAATAGTGTACTGCATATGCGCGATTTTCGAATCGACTATCTTTTCGAATTATCTTGGTACTCAGTAATTAC